TATAATATAAGTGATCATATAAAACTTGTAATTAAAAGTTTGAAATCTTTTTCATTAAAACATGCAAATATTGCCAATAATTTGTAATATTGTTTCACGATGTCTGCAGAATTTTATATTTTGTTTAATATGATTATAAAAAATAATTACATTAAAACAACAAACATGACATACACATGAGTATATTTTAATAAAATCAAAAAGAATAATTTCTATGGAATAATTTAGAAAGTAACATTTAATATAAAACATTTACTTACTTGAGGAAAGGGCACTGTTGGTAGTTTCATCAGCACTTTGGACGTCATTTTTATAAGTTTTTTGTTAACACAAACCAGAATTTGTTCTTTTAATTGCCTTCCTCTTATCAATTTTTATTATCTATTATTCTCGCCAGTGGAATCTCACATTCAACAGTCACGCACCAGCACAATTGTATAGCCTAAGTTTTTTAGCATAAATGAAGCTTCTTCAAGTTTTATCAGCAACCTAAGAGAAAAGACATAATTTTACAATTAGTATTACTTGCAAGAATCTAGATATTTTTTTTCTAAAACTACAAAGTATTCTAATTCTCCCTTGATTCTGTAAAAATTTATATTGTTTCTCAAAAATATAAATACAAAAATAATTTTGCATTATTCGTTCTACGCCTCGTGAAATAATTAGAGAAGAGAAAAAAACGATAAATGAAAAAAATGCGATAGAAAACAAAATCTTGTAAATACTTATGACGATTTATTTCTAGATCGAACACGCTGCGAAAATAATACAGTCACTGACGCGTATTCTTCATATGACTATTGCAAAAGAGATAACTGAAAATTGTAGATTTCAAAAATATTTCTCATTCGAATCTTACGGCATACGCCATGTAAGGGGAGTCTTTTAACTCTGCCAAGAATTAACGATCACCAGAAAATCACGACGACGGAGCGAAAAGACTTTGACACGCTATTTCGATAAATAATGCTACATGTGTGTCGAGAGATATTTGAGAAAAACAATCTCACGCAGATCAAGATACCTTACCGAATGTATTTGAGCTTGCAAAAGGTTTGATAGGGCGAAAAGCGGATGAAAATTGCGAGCGCAGCGAAATCCGAAGATTGAATGAGAACGTCCTGCGCGCACATCGTGACGTCACGTCACGCCGATTGGTCAGCGATGTTCGATCACATGGCGCGTTTTGCAATCGGAGATTTGAATAATTTCCACGCGATTCATCGGAATCATTTCGGAGTCATTCTCCTCGTAATGGCGTAAAAACATATCGCTGAAATATCAATCGCTCGATATGAAATTTTATTTATACAACCGCGTTATCGCGTTCCTGAAACGAATTGCTAAGGATTCCGAGTTCACGTTCGAATTTCGCGCGCTTTCGTCGACCGACGTGTCATCCGCCTTTCCCAAAGGGGTGCTCCGATATTTCCTCGCCCCGTGTTTTCCATCCAAAACCATTTCCCGCAGAGCTATTTTCAACGCTCTCTCGTCAACGCGATGAATCATCGCGATTTTTTAAATTAATCGCATAATTAAACCGAAGCGGCGCAAACCGTAACGTTGCTGTCGCTAATATCGGAGTAGAACGGACGCCAAGGAAGCGTGCGATGAGCACCGCCGATTCGACGAGGATACACCCCATTCGTCGTGGGTTTACCCGCGCCTTCCGAACCTCGTTTGGGAATAGTATTGATCCATGTAGCCGCGCCCATGCCTTTTCCGATCGTATCGCCCCGCGTAGCCGTCGCTTCCAAACACAAGATCGACGATAAAAACCTTTAACGTTTATTTTTCGCCTCGTTGCCGACGCGACAGAGAAATAATTGCACGACTATTTGTCTCATCTATATGCGCGGAAAAAATCGGATGTAAAAAACTAAAAGAAATTTTAGTTTAAAATTTATCTTTGAACGCGTAAAAGATCTTTTCGTAGGGCTTGTTTTTTGGAATTATTCTCTGCACACGATTTGATTCAATTTCAGCTTGTAATTCAATTACGAATATCGTGATCAAACGATTTAAAGAATTTTACGATTTACGTATATTTCGCTCAATCATACTATGTAACAAAAATTCCGTATTAATAACAGAGTAATATGATATGATCAAAGTAACAAATATGTTATTGTTATTGTCCTTTGGAATTTGACACGTAGAAAAATACATTTTGGTATTCTACGAATGTTTATTATAAATATCGATCACAAAATATATCATCGTTATTTAACAAACAATCTTACTCCGAATAATATATATATGTATACATACAGTAATTATTTTCGAGAAAGAGAGGGAGAAAAAATTTGAGAAGAAAAAAAGATATCGATTTTACACCAATATCAGCCCAGTTCAGGAAAGGAACCAAAAGGAACTTATCTCCATGTTCATCTTCCGCGTTCCCATGCAAGAAATCGTGCCCCAGTGTATCTCGTTTTATAAAATTATACTTACTTTCCTTTGATATCCGTTATTTATGGCACGGCTGAGGGGACGCGAATAAATGCACAAAACCGCGAACAAACCTTCGGAGTAACGAACATAACCAAGGAAGGATGTCGCTCCTCTTGAATCCCGCGGAATCCGCTTATCTGAACGATAACGAAACGGAAAACTTGTTCCTTTCCGAGGACGAAAGCGAAGATTATAATTTTAAGGTAGATTCTCTCGAAACAACTTTCCATATATACAGTCATATATCATTCTGCTCACACACATTTATACATATTATATTTTTTCCACACATGTTACTGTTGCTTTTGAAAAGAGATTCACTTTGTTCTTTTTATTTTTTTAAGTACGTACCTGAAAATCGTTTCAAGTACATAGTAAGGGATGTACGTAGACAAAGATGTCGAGAGGAAGAAGAGAATGTATGGGCTTCTTTCGTTAAACAACAAGAGTTGAATGGTTATGATAAAAATGGTATTCAGCCCTCTGTTCAAAGTATTAAACAGCTATTGGATGAAGGTATGAAGGAAGCGGATAAAGAACTTAAAAGACTGGAGATAGATATTCTGCCTGATAGAATAGAAGAATGCAGTAGAATTGGAAATAATCAAAAGAAAAGACTAAGGGTAAGAGCAGATCTTCTATGAAGATAATACTATAAGGAGATATTGATAAATTGCTAAAGCTCGCATAATAATAGGTAAATAATATCAGGGATTTGACTCCGAAGAAGATGCCAATTACGAGAGACACTGGAACAGCTAGCAGCAATTTACTTCTTACAATTCCTGAAGAGGAGAATACTCCCACTTATGAAAGAAAACAAGAGCCTGAACATTTTAAGTCATATGTCAGAAAATCTCGCTCTGGTCACGCGATATCGCGAAAGATGCAACCTTCATTGAAGCAGCTTCATCATACGACTAATGATATCGAGTACAATTCCAGTCCTGAAAGTAGCGCACGTCGCGACGATGTCGCAGATGGAGTTATTCATATACGACCGGATCCATTTATCATGCACAAAATTCTGACAATGCAAAAGAAAGTCTGCAATCTATTGGATGAAATTGCGTTCAGATTAGGAAATATTCCAGCGCCGGATGGCATTAAAGATTTGCAGAGGCGGCAGCAGTGCGTTGCCGAATTCGTCGTACGATTTTCGAGAAATTATCTGTATGATCTCAATCGATACGTGAAAGACATCCAGAGGCATATGTGCATTATATCGCCGCGAGCGATAGTAAGACCGAATCACAGAAGCCTCGGACTACACATGCACGCTATTGAGCATAAGCTACTTGCCGCTCATCAGTTACTGCTGCATGCATTAGTTGCTTATTGCAAACACATTCCTAGTTCTATTCTCAAGGGACATCCAGGAAAGTTTAGAGAGATATTACAAGTAGTTATCGATCTAAAGACTATGTGCGATAGGCTCCATTTGAACTATCTTGATTCAGGGGACACTGATATTTTGTCACTGGTAATGTTTTATTTATTATTATGAATTTATGATATATTTTGTATATATGTAAATATAAATTGCATTTTTTCTGCACCTAACAAAAGTGCAAGATTTAAATTCGCTTACAGGTTTTCTAATTATAGGGAAAAACTATTGAGAGTAAGTGCAATACCATTTTGTCCAAGTTGAAACTTCATGTAGATAGCGATCTCCTTGATCCTAATAAAACGTCGTCGATGGCATCCTTTACTTCGCATTCGACAAATAAAAAACGGCTCAATCGCAAACAGTTATCTAATCGTTTAAGTATGTATAGTATGGAAAATGCCAAAGCTTCCAAAAGTAATCCTAAACATAAAACAAGTATGTAAATCTATTTTTGATACAAGTAATTTAAATATATTTTATAATTTATATTAGCTTATATAAATTATATGCATATTGTGCATAATTTTTTTAGATTATTATCAGAAGGATAAAAAGTATAATACAATAGATACACATGTTAAAAAAATCTCTAATGAATCAATATCCAATCAGCCATATGCCAGTCCTGTAACATCGCCTAAGGATAAAAATCAAATTAGCATTAGAAAACATAGAACATATGCAAAAGAGGAGGATATAAAAACTATGATGGATATGTTACCTATAGATTCAGATAATGTAAAGAATTTACCTATAGAATAAACATATTCTAACATTAAAATATCAATATTCTTTATATGCTTCGTAGTGCAGCAATTTTGAAACACAGGAAAGACATAATACAATGCTCACAAGAAGAATACCCAAAGCGTCGGGCAAAACTTCTGACAACTTGCAAGATTCGAAACAATCAGAAAGTATAGAAAATATTGTTAAAAACACTACCACAAATAACGATGATGAATTGGTAAAAAAAGTGACGATGATAACAGAAGAACATTTATCCAGCTTAGTACCAATTATAGCGGATCTTATGTCTTATGTTTCCAATAAGGTGAACTACAACAATAATAAGTAAATTATCTCTTGCGTCCAAAATAAAATTCAATAAACTCAATTAGCTTAATAATTTGATTACACTGTACACATTTTTCAAATTTACATATATAGCAAAATGAATCAGAGGTGATGCCAGTTACGAAATCAACCGCAAATACGCTAATGAATTTTCTGCAGAAATATCAATCGCCTAAGAGCACAAAAATCAGCACGAATACCAGTTGTGATATATGTCATTCTTCCATAGGAAGCAGTTGTGAATGTGCACACCTTAAAACAAACAGGTGATTGTTTAAACTGTATTTTATAAATATACTTCATATTTTTTTAATTTCTTACTCGATACTAAAAGAGAAAAATAAGAGATAAAAATTAATATTTTGTTTTCATTATAAGAACTTTAACTGGAACGCGAAAGAATGGTAAAAATATGCGACTGATTTGCATGTCATCGATAGAAAATGAATCAAAGGCACTGCGTTATTGCGACGCATCGTGCCAAGCAAACTGTGAAAGTTTAACGGAATTGTCAGATTTTGAAATAAAGGTAAATTATAAAGGAATAATAAAAAATAACTAAAGAAATTATGAGTATAAAGGATAAAATTTTATACTAATTAATTATAATGTATTAATAGATGAAGGAAGGAAAACGCATTACAAATTCGTTGAATAATATCGAGCTCGTTGTTTCCGAGGAAACCGAAATGAATTTTCTGAAATATAGACGTGAATATCAGCGTTTGGTGCAATTGGTTCCAATGTATTCCAGCAACACACAAAATAAACCATGGGACATTGTCGCATGGTAAGTATAATATTAAAAAATGCATTGTGTGAGAATTTTAGACACATATACGCGTGTACATGTGCATCTATGTAGACAACAAATTATATTGCTTTACAGGATATCTGATAAACTCATAGATGAATTAATAATGGAGATCTCAAAAGAATTACAAATAAACGATGTCATACAGAAGTTATTTGAGTTAGAATTTCAGGAATTCTAATGCTATTGTCCATCTCACACATATCAAATATGGAAAATGCACAAAAAGGAATCATATAAAGAATTCTATATAAATTTGAGATATTTTATATATATATATATGTAAACTGATAAAAAATTTTGAAAATAAAATATTATTTTCTAAATATATATATAGCTCTCTCTTTCTTACTTATTAACTTTATAATATCTTTATATTTATCTGATTTATATATGTGTACTTGGGATCTGACAGACTCCAAACAGGTTTCTTACTTGGGATCTGACAGACCTCAAATAGGTTTTCCACTGTGATCTAATAAATCCCAAGCAAGTTTTCCATTTGGGGTCTGTCAGACCTCAAGTAGGTTTTTCATTTGGGGTCTGTCAGGCCCCAAGTAGGTTTTAAAATCTCTCTCTTGAAGATTTCTGCTTCTTATTTCTCACATATGTTTTCTTTATATCAGCGATCTATTACTGAAAATAGAATGTAACACAAAGTATTTTAATTCGTTTCTAAATATAAAAAATTGTAACGTTTTTAAAACTTATTTGAAAGAATTTTGAATATATCCAAAAGGAAACATAAAACCTCCGTTAATACAGCAAAAAGAAAGTACAATTATAAACAAATTTATTTATATAAATTATTTCTTGACTATTATAACATATTGAATTGTCAAGCTATACGAACTGTCAAAATATGCCGTCTCCGCGACAGCTACTCATGAAGGAGAGAGTTTTATTTGGACATTGTTCGATTGGACACAACAAGCGCGTTCAGGAAACACAACTGTTGAGCATCGTCTTATTAACACTCGACGTTGATTTGTTCTAGAAGTAAGAACCAATCACGTTCGATTGCTACTCAACGGTTGTGTCTCCTGAACGCACCCAACCATTCATATCGACCAGTGTCTAGGGTAACCAGCATAATTGACCAATCAATGAGTCTCATTTTCAACTGGGCAGAAACGCAAGCACGGAAAAGTATGAATGATTTGATCACATTCGAAGGGCAAGGGGCGCTGTAATTGACCCTTATGTGCCGCCATGTGCCATGGCCATTATGTTTCCAAGATAGAGTTTGTGTAATTTGATTTATCTTGATTTATTCCTGTTTATTCCGATAAATGGGTAAATCATAATGAACCGACAAATTATTCTGAAACTTTACAAGGATATTCTGAGATACGGAGAAACTTTGAAATTCACAAATAAGGGGTACTTTCGACACAGAATACGAGTAGCTTTTAAGGATAATAAAAATCTGACCGACAAAGCGATGATAGATTTTCAACTAAAGGTAATTATGCTGGTTTTAATTACGTGCGAGTGATATATCATTAATATATATTATATAAATAACCTCTCTTGTATTTTCTTATAAATCATATCAATAGAATGCATGCTTCTTTTCAATGTTTATTGCATTCACAACATGGGATTATATTGTGTATTTGTATATAAAAAATTTAATATTAATCTTATTTTAGTATATTTTTTTTTTTTGTATTTGCATGTTATAGATATATCTATCAATATAAACCGCTATACCATTTTTCAATTATAAAATTTTTGTTGTATTTTCCATGTCATAATATTAAAAGTTTTATATTGAGATAATCCAGAAGTAATAAATTTTTTTTCTCATTTCAGAAAGGTATGAAATTTTTGGAAGCCAAAAAAGTGATATAAATCTCGTTTTATAATACAAGAGACCAAGTATGAAAATATAGTCTTTACTCTTCACTGGATTTTTGTCCTCTAAGACATACTTCCCATACAACATTTTATAAAGAGAATCATGTTCGCAACATTCTTATCAATGTGTCAAAAGACTCACAATAGGATTTGTTTGTCAATCAACTGTAAGGAGTTCTTGATATTGAATGAAGTGATTAATAAATGTGAAAATATGCCAATTCGTAGCAAGTCGTTCAAACGTCATCTCGATTACTCGAAGGTGCCCAAACTGGACGAAGCTGATCTCGAAGAACAATTCATTCGTGGCAGTGGTCCTGGTGGCCAGGCAACAAACAAGACAAATAATGCAGTATTGTTAAAGCACAAACCAACTGGACTTGTTGTCAAATGTCATGAAACTAGAAGTCTATGGGACAATAAGAAACGCGCGCGCGAAATCATGGTAACAAAACTCGATAATTTGCTGAATAAGGAGCATTCCATCGAAGCTCAGATACAAATCCTGGAGAAAAAACAGCAAATACAAAAAGACTATAAAAGAAGAAAGCTGACCGAGATGAGAAAAGCCTTTCAGGAACGTGAAGGCTTGACATAATGTTCGATTTATTTTATGTACATTTCATCCAGGATATATATATTAATTATAGTTTTAGAAATAAACAAAGTATACACAGATTGTGTTATTTTTAGTTTAAAATAAATTAAGAATCAAAATGCTTTTTAAAATATAATCGACTTAAGAATCAGTGGCACTTCAAAGTTGATCAAATTGTACCATAAATTATCTAATTCTGAAATTGCTAGATAAATAAAAAGCTTTTGATTTTAGAAATTGTAATTATATCGTTACACCATAATTTTTGTTATTATTTGACTAATTAGTCATTTCTAAATTACAAGTAGAATTACATAAATAATTTAGAAGAAAACAGTCAATTTGTCTAGAGATTATTTATATAGACTATAGAGCAATTAAATGGAACTATATATAAATTAATCTAAAGATGATTTTTCATGGAATCATAGAGGTGTAATAAAACAATTTTTAATGGAAAATTTTATATCTTTAATAATGATAATTTCTCTTTTTGAACTCGTGAGCGACTTACAGTTTTGTTTGAAATAAAATAATTAGGTATATACTGAAAAAATTGAAAATATAGAACATCATCTTCAATAATATGCAGCATAACAGAAATGAGTAATTATACTATTATAAAGCTGTATGCAGTCTTGCGTACTCTAAAAATGTATACATTCTATATGAAAATAATTCTTAGTAATGATTTGAACAAAACGACTGTCTTCAAAGTGATATACAATTTTCGTCTAATGCAAAATGACGAAAAAAAGAAATAAAAAAGGAACGACAAATCTCTAGTAAAAAAAGGGGAAAAAAAAAGAGTAAAACTATCCTGTTTCCGAGAACACAACGACCGCATCGAAAGAATGTACAGTGAGATGTATACTGGTGGTGAGGAGTGTGTTAACTAACCACCTGAAAGAATGTCACTAAGTAGAATGGTATCACTAAAGAGAGAGACAGAGAGAGAATACTATGATGCGATGTTAAATACTATTCTCTACGTACACAAATAATATTTTTATACATAATGTACATCGCGTCAGGACAATATCAGATTGCGAGATCAACTGTCGTTGAAATCTAAGTCCAAGTACTCTTATTCTTCATATCTATTCTTCAGCTACTTTTCAACCACCGTCCAAAGTGTCCACGGCCGGACTTTATGCGCTTCTTCGGCGGTTTGGAGTTGTTTGATCGCGGCGAACCGCCGGAACTTCTCAACCGTCGGTTACTCGCCACCGTCACTGTCGACAAAATACCGTGATCCATGTCCACTTGATCGTCGAGCTTCATCATCCGTACGACCGGCTGGAACTCGATGCTCGAGCGACGCTGTTCGAGCTCGGTGGACGATATCACCGACGACGGGCTGATAACGCGTTCCGATAACGCGCACTGATCCAACATCGGATCGGACGATTCCTGGACGTTGTCCGACGACGAGATGGCCTCACTTTTGCGCTTCGCGCTGCGCATTCCGGAACTCGGTGATTGCTTCTTATTACAAGTAGATGTAATACTCAAGTAGGCGTCCTTCTTACAATTCTCATCGTCGTATACCATACCAACATGATGATCAGACGACGACAGATTGTTATGAGCGACGGCCGTTTTCGACTGACGTTTCCTAGAATAGATGCGCTTCCGCGAACCTATTCGGCCACTCCTTGTCGCGGCAAACACGATACCGTGACGACCATGTTGTTTCAGCAATTCCCCCGTATTCTCGGATGAATTCTTCTCGCAACTGTCGCCTCGCAGTTGCCGTTTCGGCGACGACAGTTCGGAATTGGTGTTGTGATATTTCTTAGGAACTATACCGGACTCTGTCTCCTTTCTACACTGTTGCAACTGTATATTGTCCCGATTCTCGATCTCCGTGTCTCGCGACTCACAGCTGTTGTTGTCGACAGTGTTGACGGCGATGGCAACGGTAACGTGGTCGCGTTGTCGTTGCTTCCTGACAACGGGTGACGACTTGACAACCAAATTCCTCTCGGTGATTGCGTTGACGTCTTTTCTACTAAACAGGCTCTTCTGATTCTCGTGATTCTCATCATTGCCCGATTCATTGTTTTCCGAAATCTCTTCGATTTTCGACAAATCTTTCCTACATGGATAATCCTTGTTCGACAAATAGTTTTTATTCGTTGTGTCGTCGCACGTATTTTCCGAAATGGACAGTGATTCCACGTAGCTGCCTGTGTTCGCCGATAGACTCGTGTTGTTGTCATCGTTCACGGTCTCTACGCTCCTATCTCTCTTCGCGAGCACCTCGTGACACGATTTATGAGATGCGTTGGTAGTACAGATTTCCAGCAAGGTGTCAGCGTCGCTCTTTCGATTAACGTTTAGCTGTTCCACAGCTGTTGGCAGCACAACATTATTATTCGATGTCGTTACCGTGTGAGAATCAGCCCCTTCCGATAATTTGCTGGACGTATCCAACGTATTTCCGGCGAAACTCTTGTCAGGGGACAGCCTTTTCTCCAGCAACGATTCCCGCTCGCAATCCATGGACATCTTGCTGTTCGTCTGTATTTTTTTCTTCATCTTGTTACCAACCGGCCAACCAGTCCGGTTTTTCCTTCGTTTCCTCCTTTTCAGCGGAATGTCTATGTTCGCCTCACCACATTCCGAGCTAGCACATGACGAGTTATTTTCCAAACAGTTGGGGATGTCTTGATAATTATCCAGCAACTCCAACAGATTTGACGGCGCACCCTTTGGTGTCCCGCAGAAACCGTCAACTTGTCCTAAGTCCACGTCGGGTTCGAACGAACCGTCCAGCTCCTTCGCACTCAGCATATTATCGATCGTTTTTGCTATCTCCTTCAGCTCCTCGTCCAGATCCGACTTGAGATCTTGTTTTTGCTCAGGCTTGGGTGTGTTGGTGCGCGATCTGACAAATGGCGGCGATTCTTCTATCGTGCATAGAGTCGACGATTGCTGCTGTTCTCTTTTGCGGATTATGGTGGACATGATGGCCAGCGTAGATGCGTGGCAACGTGGGCTTTTTCTTGGTGAACGTCCTACGCATCCTACACCGCGCCCGCGACCCCTTTTTCTGCTTCCTATGTCAATTCTACTTTGCATCTTCATTAGTGTCTCGTGAAAATTCTCTATCTCGTATGGCAGTAGAAACGGTTTCATTGCGTCGCATTCGCTGAAGCAGTGCCAAAACTCGGCACCTGTATCTTGACGTTGATACGTTTGATACCACGGTTCGGACTTGGGTATCGCTTCAAAGGAGAATTGCATTTTTTCAATCTCCGTTGACGGTTTGGACGGATAAATTTTCTCAACTATATTCTCGATTTCTGGTTTGCAATCGTTCGGTTGTTCTGACTTCTTCAACGCCGTGTGTTCCCTACTATCCGCGAATACGGTGTCCTTGATACCAGTCAATGGAGCCTGGTACCTTAATCTGCTGCCCGGCGTCTCGAACTTGTAGTAGTCGGCGTTGTCCTTAATAAACGCTTCAGCCTGTGTGCGTCTCCTTTTTCTCGCTCTACCCAGATGTATAGAATCTTGTGAATCCTCCTCGATAATTTCCTGTTTCACGGGACTGGAATTTAACGGCGAACTCAGCAACGTGGACGAATTGGCAGTTTCATTGGTTTCGCTGTTCTCCGTATCTTTCGGCAACACGCTACTTTGTTCGCTATCGCTAGTTTGTTCGGTCGAGTCATCTCGTTTCGGTTCGCCAAACATAAAGGATTCCGCCTCATCGCTTAGCAACGACAGCTCCGATTTTCTCACGCGTTTAAACCGCACAACTACCGGCTTTTCACTCGACAATGGTGCTTCCTTTTTTTCTTCGCCGTCGCTATCTTTCGATGCCGCGTGCTGTTGCGGATTGCCACTACCCGTCACTGCACTCGATCGTAGCTTGTTACCTAACACTTCCACTTTGTAATATGCGCGATTGTCTTCAATCAAACGTTCCTCCACTGATAATCGATGCCGATATCGACCTCTGATACTTCTACTGCCCCTTCGATTGAGACGGGAAGGATGCTTGGGTTTCATACAACGATTAGTCTCTCCCTGCAACACTTTCGAGTCTTTTTGTTCACTTTTGTCGTTATATTCATTACAGACGAAATTCCTCACATCGTCCGACAACTTTCTCGCTTCTATAGTCACTTTGTTCGTTTGCAACGCGCAATTGTCTCTTTGAAATAAATCCTTACACGGCTTGCAGTTCTCAGTATAACTATTATTGACTACACCGTTCTCTACACTTTTCATACATTCCAACGCACACGCATTTTCGTCAACGTTACATTCGTCCTTACTCTCGAGGTAATCCGATTCTTCCGATACACGACGATTGTTATGTACGATCGCCGGCTGCAAGTTCGACGGATCTAGATTATTACTATTTTTACTACTGATATTATCTTCCTTAGTGTTTAAAACGTCATCGATATCATTCGAGAAGGGTCTTTTATAATCTTCCCGCTTCGATTCCTTCTGTAGAATGTCTTCCTCTGCATACTTCTCCTCTGGGTCATCTTCCTCGATCCAGATAGTACCTTTTGAACGTTTCTTGATGGTAAAACCCTCCAATTTATCATACAACTTCTCGCTCTTATCGACTTCGTGCCACGGACTGCCCTTGGATCTAAGAAGATGCCCACTTTCGTGTTTCGCACGAGTACGCAAATTATGCGGCGAACTTAATTTTAAATTAAGGTTTCTACGCGCACCATTCACTATTTTTATCTCGTCAACACTAAAGTTATTTAAAGTTTTGGTGTTCTTATTAACCTTCTCCTCGGGCAGCACTGCATTATGAAGATTGCCATCTCCATTGGGAAAACAATCACAGTCTTTCCTATAAAATAATAAAAATAAATTCAATTAGCACTTGCTTGAAATATATGTATGTGTAAATGTATATGCACGTATCTCCAATAAGTATTAAATAAGTAATAATAAATTAAATTATAAATACTTACTCAATATCCTTTGTTCTATTTAGTTTTAAGAATGCCTCCACATTGGCGCCGTATCTCCAATAAGAGTATTAAATAAGTAATAATAAATTAAATTATAAATACTTACTCAATATCCTTTGTTCTATTTAGTTTTAAGAATGCCTCCACATTGGCGCCCGCGTTGATTAACGTATCCAACGACAAAAAGTTGTCGTCGTTCCCTACAAAGTTCAAATGCTGTTCGCTTTGCAGATGTTTGGATAGATCGTCATAATGAATATGACAAATTTCACAGTAACC